GGGGCAGGGCTGTGGGGAGGTGGAGAGGGCGAGAACTGTGCCTGCAGCCCCGCCTGGTGGCAAAGTGATTCCAGGCCTCAAAGGCCCAGCTGAGGGACTGGGACTTGGTCCTGGGGGCACTGGGCAGCCATAGCTGTGAGCAGGAGAGGAGTGGGGTCCGCTCAGCTGGCAGAAAGCCCCCATGAGGGGGATGGACGGAGAGGGACTGATGGCGGCCAGGTGGAGGTGGGCTGATGGTCCAAGCGGGGAAGGATGAGCCCAGGGCTGTGGTCATGGGGACACGGGTGAAGGGAGGAGGCAGAGAGGAACGGAGGCAGAGAGGAACGGAGGCAGGGAGCAGCGCTCCGGTCTGTGAGGCTGGGAGCAGCGCTCCGGTCTGTGAGGCTGGGTAGGTGGCGGCACCACTTGCTGGAACGAAGGCCCCCAGCAGCTCTGATGGGCGACGGTGGCACCGGCTTCCTCCGTGGTTCCTGAGGCACTTCCAGGGCAGCAGCTGTGGGACTGGAGACCCTTTGGGGAGCACAGAGACCAGGTCCCTCTGGGCACTGGCCAGGAAGTCTTCCTGGGAATCATCCAGGAAGAGGTGCTGTTTGGAACCTCAGCGGGGCTGGGCCGGGACTGACGCTCCAGTAAGTCCCCACCCGGCAGTGCGGCCGCACCTACACGCAGGAGCAAAGCCACGCAGGTACCTGGGGATTCCCGCAGGAAACCCGAAGGGCCACCGATGGGCCCGAAGAAATCCACGTGAGCCAGTCCACAAGTGAGGACCCACTTCATTTAGTTTTTACTACATTTTTATTGAGTTCAGAGAGGAAGGGAGAGAAACGTCAGTGATGAGAATCATTGACCGGCTGCCTCCTGCATGCCCCACACTGGGGACCAAGCCCGAACCCCAGGCATGTGCCCTGGCCAGGAATCGAACCATGACCTCCTGGTTCATAGGTCCACACGCAACCACTGAGCCACACAGGCCGGGCTGAGGACGCACTTTATATCAGAGACGGAAACCTCTCCAACTTATGTCCAGTGGGGGAGGGGGAATGAAAGCAACACACTTTTGCAAAACTATTGACGTACACGATGGACTGTCTCTAGAGAATCCCTCCAGAACGGTGCCCCGGACGGCCCAGGTGGGGGGACAGTGTTGGCCAGGGGAGAAGAAGGCTCTTTGCTGTGGACCCTTCTGTACCTTCTGAGGTTCATGCTGTACCCCCAGATACCCTGGCCAATAAACGGAGCCATGAGTGAGCGCTCCAGGGTCAGGCAAGAAGCGGAAGTTTAGTAAGGACAGAGCCCAGGGAGACTGACAGCTCAGACAAGGACTAGAACATTCCACACCAGAACTGTGGCCACTTGAGAGTGATCGACAGGCTTAGAGAACAAGGAGGGAGATAAATAAAGACTCAAACTGCAGTCCACTAAAAAATGATGAGCCCTGCCCTAACTGGTTTGGCTCAGCAGATAGAGCGTCGGCCTGCGGACTGAAGGGTCCCAGGTTCGATTCCGGTCAAGGGCACGTACCTTGGTTGCAGGCACATCCCCAGTAGGTGTGCAGGAGGCAACTGATCGATGTTTCTCTCTCATTGATGTTTCCAACTCTTTATCCCTCTCCCTTCCTCTCTGAGAAAAATCAATAAAATAAATTTTTTAGAAAAAAGACGAGCCCTGCCCAGTGCGGCTCTGCTGGTCGGGCGTCATCCCATGCAGAGAGGTTGCCAGTTCGACTCCCGGTCAGGGCACATGCCCGGGTGCAGGCTGGATCCAGTGTGGGGCGTGCAGGAGGCAGCCCATCAATGATTCTCTCTCATCATGGATGTTTCTATCTCTTCCTCTTAAACCAATAAAAAATATATTAAAAAAACAAACTGGTGAAATAGCCCCAATGCTGCCAGGTGTGTCACACAGACACTGAGGAAATGGAGAGGGTGGGGCCCTTGGCCGCTCAGGCCACCTGTCACCGTGCAGGGCAGGTGGCTGCCTGTGGAGGAAGAGGGGTCGAGGGAAGGGCCGCAGCTGGCCGTCCAAGGGCCTCAGAAAACAGGGGTCGGCAACACCAGGCGACTCCCAAGAGGACTTCAGACGTAAACGCCACTGAGCAAAGGCCAGGTTCCCAGACAACCGAGTGCCACCTCGTTCTGCCTCATTCTGAGAGGCTGAGCCTGGGCGCCCGTCGGCGAGGCTGTGGGAAAGGGACTGGAGGCAGCTCAGCCACATGGATCCGGCGGCAGAGGCCACCCGCCCAGCCTTCCGGTTCGGGGCTTCGTGTTTTCCTGTTAGTCCTCACCCGAGGATCATTTTCCCATCGATTTTTAGATAATGGAAGGGAGGAAGGGGGTAAGAGAATCATCAATATGAGACACATTGACCAGCTGCCTCCGCATTCGTCCCGACCAGGGCCAGGATCAAACCTACAACCCAGGTATGTGGCCCTTGACTGGGAATCAAACCCAAGACCATTCGGAGCGTGGGCCAATGCTCCAACCACTGAACCACACCAGCTTGGGCCCAGGGTTTTATCTTAGTTACACCTGCATGTCCCTGGTTAGCTGAGCTCAGGGGCACCCTTTGGGGAGCACAGGGACCAGGTCCCTCTGGGCACCGGCCAGGAAGTCCGCAGGAGCGAAGCCAGTGGCAGGCGCGTGTGGAGTTGATTCTGTGACCGGCGGGGAGATCAGCAGCGCCCCTCCTGGCCTGTGCTCATCAATCTCCAGGAGGAAAATCAGGGGGTAAAAATGATGGGGGACAACTTTCCACCTCACGCCTCACCTGCTCATGAAAAGGCCTCTAAGCTGCCAGTGACCCCACTTCTAGTCACGCGTCCCCAGGAAACAAGCTCACACCAGGGGTGGCCACGAGCTAATTGTGGGGCTGTTACAACCACAGGAAGCGGGAAGCGAGCGAGACGGTGAACACTGGGGACCAGTTTAATCAACTGCCACACAACGCGGAGGAGCGTCCTGCAGCCATGACAATGACAAGGGCCATCTTCTGGGGTTTCTGCATAATTCACAACGTGAACACGGAAGTTCGGCAATGCTACACACGTATATACACACATGCACCAGGAGCCAAGTCCACAGTTGACTTGGCTGCTGGAAGTGGTAACTTTCAAACCTTCATATATTTCAGTATATTCTCTCAATGGTTTTAAATAGATAAGTTTGGGGGGGGAGCGGGGGACAGCAGAGGCCCAGCGTCCTCACCCGGAGCCGCGGCCCAGGGAAGGCAGCCGGTGGTGGGAGTGACGGCCGGGCCTGCGCACACGGAAGCCGTCTGCTCTGTGCTGACGTAGACATGGGGCCTGGCATCCTGGGCAGAAAGGGGCAGAGCAGGCCCGAGGGCAGGGCCAGGGAGGAGCGGAGCCAGGCGCCCGGCCTGCTGTGCCCTCAGGGCAGAGGGACAGGTGTGTGGCCCAGGAGGCAGGGCCATGGAGCCCAGCCGGAACCAGGATGAGAACAAAGGCGCGGAGCTGGAGAGCTCCCGGACTGCAGGGCTTGGGGCGCTGGGGGTGACGGGACACCGGGTCAGAGGGAAGCCTTGGGGCTGCAGTGGGGCCACGGGGGCAGGCAGGGGGCAGCAGGGCCAAGAACCCCACCGCCCTCCAGACAGGAACACAGGGGCCCACAGGGAGAGGCTCCGGTGGAGGGGCCAGCGAATCCTTTTGGGATGAGCAAGGCCTGGCTCTCTGGGCAGGAGGGAAGCCCCGCGCCCCTCCCCGGCCACTGCCCCCTCC